GCCGTCCTTTGGATGAGACGTAAAACCGAGGTCCTGACTCTCTGTGGTCATTAAAAATCCCAGGGCGTTTCTCGAAAAGAGTAGGGGTGTAACCCCTGCGTCCTGGCCAAATTTCCCCATTGGCCTCTTAATAATCCCCATCTATGAATTGGCTTCATTACTCTGCTCTCCTCCCCACTGAGAGCTGATGTGTGAGAACGTGTGAGAACACGGCGAGTGTTCTGGCGCCCTATGGCTGCCGTCGCATCATCCTGCTGCACATTGGTGGTGGTGGAGGGGAGTCCCCATTACCTGGAAAGCGCTTTGAGTGGAGTGTCCAGAAAAGCGCTATTTAAGTGTAAGCAATTATTATTATTATCACTGAACATCACACTGAAGGTGTAGTGGTCAGCATTGCATCCTTACAGTGCTGGGGCTCCAAGTTCACGTCCTGAGGTGCTGTCTGTGAGGAGTTTGTATGTTCTCCCTGTGGGTTTCCTCCCACAGTCCAGAGACGTGCTGGCAGGTAAATTGGCTCCTGGGAAAACTGGCCCTGGTGCGAGTGTCTGTGGCTGTGTGTGTCCTGCAATGCACTGGCGTCCCGTCCAGGGTGAACCCCACCCTGTGCCCATTGCTTGCTGGGATAGGCTCTGGCTCCCCCATGACCCTCAATCAGAAGAAGCAGTTAAAAAAAAGGATGGTTAGAAACGTCATACACCAGGTGTTGGTGTCTGAGATCTTCCCTATCAGTGGTCCTGCAGGGTGGAAAAAACTGGGAGGGTGCGGGTGATGAAATTGTAGGGATCCCTTTTCCCCTACAGTGTGTTGTACTTGAATGAAGGCTTTAATCCTAATCACGTACTCTCTCACCTACCAAACCCCAAACTGAGTGACTAACTTATGATCCACATCTCACTTATGCATATGCCCCAGATCTTGTGCAAGACTGTGTCCATCGCTGACATGAGATTTCCTCAAGACTAGGCTGTGTTAGTCACTGCTCTATAAAAAATAAAAAACATATCTCTACAGCCACACACACTCAACACTGCAAAAGCATCTCAGTTCCTATTTCCTGTCCTCAGGTCTAGGGAACGGAATACTGTCAGCAGGTGAACATCCCTGTGTGTTGTGAGTATTCTGACCCTCTAGTACTGATTCATTAATCCATCCGTCGTCAATCTCAGAAGCTCAGCAAGGCCGCCTGGTCAGTATCGGAATGGGAGACCTCAGAGAAAAAGCAGGTTGCTTGCGATATGGACCAGTAGGGGGCGCTCATTCCTCCGGCTCAGAACGTTTCACGCGGCGACAGGGGACGCTTTGCTGTAGGAGCGGCCACCCTTTGGCTGAGCTATTAGGCCGACTACTTGTGAGAAGCAAGAGTCCATGTTGGCCCAGCTCAGCCCAGCTCAGCCCAGCTCAGCTCAGCTCAGTCCAGCTCCCCTCCAGTTCCCCCTCATCTAAACTGCCGGAGCACCGTTCCCCAACCAGAGCGCTGCTGGCGCATGACAACACGTGCCGTCCTCTAACAAACAGGGACGTAAAGCTGGACCTGAATCTCACTTTAGCCCCTCGATCCCCTCCCCCCGGGGAATCTGAACCATGTTCACGTTCATCCGCCCCACGAGCGAACCTGGAGAAACAGCCGCGTCCAGAGGGCAGGACACAGGCGGAAGGGAAGACATAAAATCCTCCATCTGAGGCGTCGGATCCCCACCTCTCCACCAGGGACTCCCGTCCGGATGGCTGGAAGTCAACAGCCGAGACCCGGATTGCTCTATGGACCCCTCCCTGAGCCGCGATGGCTACGTATGAAGGGGGCCTTGGAAGTGCGCCCCATGCCAGAAAGGGGGGCAGCTGATTACTGCTGGGGTACGGAGAGGGAGGCCGGGACGAGGGGGCGCAGGGACCCCATTCCCCTGCCTCCTGCTCCAGCTCTGGTGCAGAAGCCGTCTCTCTCCGCTGCGCCAGTGCGCCGGTGTACTCTGGCCCAGCCACGTACCCACTCCTCCCCCACTCCCCCGAGAGCACGGGCACGACTGGAGCGCCGCAGATTCACCAGGGGCTCGTCCCACCAAGAGCACAGCGCAAGGTTTCTTTCCAGCATGCTGTTGAGTGGCTGACATTGCTGCTTCACAGTGCTGGGGCCCTGGGTTCGATTGCTGGGGTGCTTTCTGTGTGGAGTGGGTATGTTGTGCATTTCTATCTCAGAGCAGGAGGAGCTTCTTTACGCAAAGAGTTGCAGGGGTCTGGATCAAATTATCCAGCCAGGTTGTGGAAGTCGATACCGTGGCTTCTTTTACCAGAAGTGGCAGGATGAGACTCTGGCGTCAACTCGTTACTGGCAACCCTGCTAACCACTCTCCACAAGCAACCATTCAGCCAGCCAGCTAGAAGTTATTGCTCCTCTCAGTAACTTAGTTTCCATGAGCACGCTTGAGAAGCGCTCCAGTGGGGAGAAGGATAAGTAGGACAGGGAGCAAGTGTTGGTAAAAAAAAAACAGCATGCATGCAAAATTGACTCAGAGGAACCGTCAGCAATCCCAGTTCCCCTGCGCTTCCTGGAGCCCCAGAGGATGACATCACCGAGCAGCTGCAGTATCACGTGGAACATAACTTCCTCTGCCTGCTCCAGTGTCCAGGTGGGAAGGACCCCGTTCGGGCCTGTGTATTCTGTAGTGAATATTCCCCACCCCGTCTTCTAGGGCAGTAGTTTCCCATCCCTGATCCTCTTCTTCTTTTTTTGCTCCAGGCCAGAATAATTGCCATTTTCAATGCAAATCATTATTTTTGCATGTCCTTTCAGCCTTCATAAAGCACGAATGAGATTAGCAACTGGTGCCCCTGCAAACAAAGCTTGTGCCCCTGTCAGAAGTCTGGAAGAGCCCTCGTTCAGCTGTTACCCCACCTGTCATCAGGGGAGCCTCTGCACCAGTGATGGGCATTGTGGGAATGTCCGATCCAGCTGTTAAGATCTGTTCACACCAATAAGGGAGCGATCTCCGAAGTTGCGGAGGGACACTTCTGACAACGCGCCTTTTTAAAACGAAGGACCACAGGCCGTGCTGAAGAAGCAAGGAGATCAATTCAAAAGCATCAGTGTTTACAAGCAGAGACAGGGTGGGTAATCACTACTCTAGGAGCAGCCCTGGGCCTCTGGAGAAGGAGGAGGAACGGGCTTAATTAGATCCATTAAATTCCCCTCCTTGGCCACCCTCCGAGGTCTGACATCCAGTGTGCATGGTCATGCCGTCTCCTCCTTTCTGGTGCCTCAATCGAATGGCCACAGTAGAGCTCCGAGACTCCGGATTTCACTGATCCGTGAATCCATCCATGATTGGAAAGCTCCTCATTCCTGGGGCAGCTTCAGTGACACTGATTAGCTCAGCCAGGGTGTCTTTCAGCTACTAGGAGGGAAACTGGAGGTTTCAAACCCAAACCGTCACGAGCCTGCAGAGAACATGCAAACTCCACACGGAAGGTGCCCTCAGCCAGAACTCAGCATTAAACCCCGAAGCCTTTCAGGGCTTCTCCGTGCGGGCTAGCCTCACCTGGGATGAGGATGGTTTTGAGGGGGCGCACCTCCACCCCCTGGGTGGGGTACTCCAGGGGGCTGTTTGCCTTGGCCACGATCAGTTGGTCAGCTGGTGTCTGCGACCTGAACCGAAAGAGAGGAGGAAAACATTACTGGAAGAACCAGGACCTGAAAACCTAACATTCGCACCCGTGTTTCGAAAACCACCCCCCCTGCTGTGCGCCCTTGGCTGCTTTTTGGACAGTGTGGCGCATGGCCAAGCTCGCCCACCCTGCGGGTTTGGCGATGAGGATCAAACCATCTTTGCTGTTCACTAGCATCCCCTTGAAGAACTGATCAATTCAGCCAAGAGATGAAAGTAGGCAACAGCACGGAAGATAAAATATCTTTTTGAAGGTGATTTGAGACTGTTGGTCGGTATTGCTTGCCTGCAACACTGGGGCCCTGGGTTCAATTCCTGGGGTGTGGCCTGTGTGGAGTTTGCATGTTCTCCCCGTGTTCACATGGGTTTCCTCTGGGTGCTCTGGTAGGAGTGAGATGATATCAGGCACAGCCACAGGTGGAAGTAACCACCAGACACGCCCCCGTGGGGGAGTGACCTTCCACCGGACACGCCTCTGAGTGGGCGTGGCAAACAAGTGGGAGGGGCCGTGTACCAGACACACCCACTGAGTGTTTTTTTCCCTTCTGCAGGTCTGGTTACAGATCAGCCAGCGCCCCTGAACGAAGGCAGTGCTGAGACTCGGACACTGTACGCGGTCGATGCCAGCGATACATCCCATCTGACCTCTCGGAGCTGGCAGCCAGTCTACAAGCACGCCGCCGACAGAGACGGGGGCCCAGTACCTGGTCTTGAAGCTGCGGTACTCCTGGGCCCGGCGCCGCTTGACCTCGTCCAGCTCGGAGGCGGCGAAGGCGGTGTGCAGGGCGTGCGCAGACACGCGGGGGAAGAGCGCCTGGGGCAGCGGCAGGCCGAGCGCCGCCCCCTTGGCCTCGCACGCGCAGTCGTTCCGCGGCAGCAGCCTGGGAGAGACAGGAGCCCCCCGTCATTCCGGTCCGGCACCCACCCGCGCCCTGGGGTGGGCGGGGGCGGGGTGGCACCACGGCAGAGAAAAGCAGGCGCACCATTCCGGGTCTCCTGGGGCGCCATCCGGCTGGTTTCTTGGGGGGTGGGGAAAACCGGGAGAGGACCTGTGGCGGATCCACAGCAGCTGTGGAACGACCACAGCCTGGCGAAAGCAGGGGGCCAGTAACATTACCAGGCTCTGTTACCATTACCACGAGTCTCAGCTATGTCACTTGAAGTTATTCTGGAAACATGATGTAGAAATCCCCCCCCCCACCTCCAGATCCAGCAGTCTTCACCAGGTCTGCCCTCGAACCCTGCAGGGCTCTTACCCCCCACCCCTCCCTGCCAGGCTCATTCTCACCCCAAGAATACCCAGCTGTCGTCTCGTGGACAGGACGCCGGCCAACCCGGAGAGGAAACGCGAGGAAGTGCTTCCTGCCCGCGCACATCCCTCCCACCTAGCGACAGTCACCATGGCTGTGGTCACCAGGCGGACCTGGTCTCACACTCACCCGGCGACGCTCTCCTTGACGCGGTAGGGGATGTGCTCGTACTTATCCGCGGCCAGCCGCTGATGCTCCTCCAGCAGCCTGCCGGCGCCGGAGCCCGACCCGGGCCGCAGGTCCACGGCGGGGGAGGTCTTGGGCGTCCAGGAGCGCAGCAGGGCGACGACCAGCAGCGCCGACACCAGGACCGCCAGGAGCGTGGGTTTCCGCAGGCAGCGCATCCTGCGCGCAACAACAGGGTCAGCCGGGCCGGGCCGCTGCTCGGCGGAGACCCGCGGGCCCTCCAGCCCGCCCCACGCCCGGACCACGTGGCGCTTTTCCTGCACCAGCCAGCTGCCTCTCAGAGCCCCCCAGTCCTGTACCCGCAGAGATGCTCCATCTCTGTACCTCCTCCCTACGCCCCTCCACTGTGCTGAAACAGGAGGAGCCCCACTGTCGGTGCCATGTGACCCACTGCCCCTCCCACACCTCGGGTTCGGGTCCTGGGGTGCTGTCCGTGTGGAGTTTGCATGTTCTCCCCAGGGTCCTATGGTTTCCTCCTGGTTGTAATGGAAGGTTACTGAAGAAAAGGGTTTTATCCTAAAAACATCGTTTACGGGCAGAGCGGTGTTGTAAAAGCAGCCAGATTCTATGAACAAAGTGGGACTGTACCCAGCGAGTCAAGGGCACGGGATGTTTAAATAATGTTTATCTCTGCCCCAGCAAAAAAGGCAGATATAAAACTGCACGTAGCCGCCTTCTCTGTCCTTCAAGGCTAAGACCTAGAAGGACTGGAAAATCACTGTCTCGCCTGTCGCAGTATTACTAACCAACCATAATGAAGTGAACAAGCTGAGGTGCTGCATCAGCTTAGTGTATAAAATAAGTGACCTTTCTCCATTTAACTTTGAAATCAGCTCCCACCTGCTGCACAGACTGGTGGCTGCTGTCTTTCCCTACTGCGCAGTATGAATCAATGCCTTACTGGGTGAATGAGAACACCTTTCCTGGCTCTTCTTTGATAAAGTTTCCCCGACAGGCTGCTCTGATTTCTTCCCACAGTCTACGTTGGTAGATTAACTGAATTCTGGGAAACCGTCCCTGCTGTGATGGACTGGTGTCCTCTCCAGGGTGTACCCTGCCTTGCACCCACTGCTTACTGGGATAGGCTCTGGCTCCCCTGCAACCCTGAACTGAACACTTTTTTTAAAACCTGCCCACAAGTTACTTCCTTATCACACACTACAAGTCTTCTGAAAGTTGCAGTATCCTGTGTACACCCCACAGGAAACACCCGCAGTGTGGCACAGTGTTCAGTACTGCTGCCTCACAGCTGGGGCCCTGGGTTCGGATCCAGACCCCAGGGGCTGTCTGTGTGGAGTCTGCATGTTCTCCTCAGCTGCACATGGCTTTCCTCTGCCTGCTCTGCTTTCCTTTCACAGTTGTAAGACATGCTGACGTGCTGGTGGGTTAACTGGCCCTGGTGTGGGTGTGTATGCCTTCCCTGCATTGGACTGGCACCCCAGCCAGGGTGAACTCTGCCTTGTGCCCGTTCTTGCCAGGAGAGGATCCTGCATATAGGATACCAACTGCGTTTGAAACGCTTGAGATGACGCACATCCTTTCTACTGTAAAAAAAAAAACACTGAACGATTCAAACGTAGATACCCTTGTTTGCCATTCGCATATCGCGGACTTTTTCAAATCGGTGAGTAGATCTGTCCAATCAGGAGCGCGGTACTATGGCAACACTCACCGACCATCAAAAGTTTTGACGTTGAATCTCTAACCTCATCCTACCTGTATTACTGGAGGCGTGTGCAGACGTTTAGCAGGCGGCGAGGCCGCGCTGTGTGTGCGGTTCCCGTGTCGGATCTCTCACACAGGGCGATCCTCGTTCTCCGTGCGGGCAAGCGCGAGCCCTGCTCCGCCAGCTCCTCGAGCGCGGGTTTCAGCGGCTGCCGCAGGCGCGCGCCCCCTTCTAACTGGCTTCTCCAACGCGTCATTACGTGCATGGGGCGCTCCCCCCGACGTTAAATAGCAGTTTCGTTCGTCCGTCTTGACAAGATTTGAACTTGAACTTGAACTTAATTGCCATACAGTATGTAACCGGTACATGAACTGGTATAGTGGAATTCTTACTGACAGAAAGTCTCTCGATTGTTAAAACAGGTGTAAAAACACAAAGTGCAGACAGTGCATCAAGACAATATACAAACAAGTTGACTATTAACACATTTGCCAAAGGGATGGGGATAGACCAAGCGTGCTGTGCGAGGTGTTAGTCTCAGACAGCTTTCTAAGGCGAGCAGGAGAGCGTGGTCTTACCTCGGAAACGATGTTCATTGATCTGTACGAGGCGGGTCTCCAGCGATGCCGTCTCGTCTCCTCTCGTCCCTCTTCTCCTTTTATTGTGACCGGGAACACACAGATGTTTCATCTGAGAGGAGGCTGGCAACCAGTTCCTGCAGTTCTTGCTTTTCCGCATGACACTGATAAGACCGGCCGGGCGCTACACGTGATCCTAATGAACTCGGAGCGAGCTAGCGTGTTGCTGTGGCAGTGTACATACCTACAGTACAAACCATAAACCCGGGAGTTAACCTGCCAAGACCGGGGGGCAGCTGCGTGATACCAAGAGACGCCCGCTGAAGCAAACGCTTTGAATTCCACCCCCCTTAAAGGAACTGGCCATAACTCACAACACGCCTGGAAACAAAACGTGTCATAGTTGACGGAAAGAGGTGCCATGTCAGTGGATCTTGAAGTCTGGGAGTGACGGTCCCATTAATGAGACGACCGTGACAACCAGAAATATAATCAAATGAAAGCAGCGGGCGTCGACTTCGCGACGTCGACGGCTCTTTCACGACCGAGCGCGGTCCGGCGGAGCGCTTCACACCCGTTTCCGCCCCCCAAGACCAGACCGCAGAAACGGGACTCTCGGCCGCGCTGCTCACCTGTCGGGGTCGGGGTCTGACCCCCCGGCGCCTGTCCGCTGCTCCGCGATTACGACCTGCAGGCGCGCTCGTCGCTCGTGCCCCTCGGACCCCGGCCTTTCAGCTCCCGATGAGAGACTGCGCTGCGCGTCCCGTCGATCCAAGGCGGTGAAGCGATCCCGCAGCCCATATCAGATCCTGCAAAACAGTCCACACTCTCCCATCCGCTCTCACGGGATCGCTCCGACGTTGGCACGCGAGCTTTTAATCCCGTTCATTTGTCTTCCTCCCCCCAGAGCCGCGGACACGCGGGTCTCCTCTGTCTGTTGGACTGGCCAGCGGAGGTGATAAGATTAAATAAAGGTGGTGGTGGGGGTGATGATTATCGGGACCCAGGGGAGTGTACTCCAACAGCACCTCTACGCGCACACTGAGGTTGCGAGTGTATCTTTCACGCCGTGGGAGCTGGGGTATATACCAGTCTGAACTCCAGTAACCCACAGTAAAACACAGGGTGCCACCGTCACCCCGACAAAAGGCTGGTGTGTTAGATTTGTTTCGGAACTCTGGTCCTTGATGCTGTCGCAGCTCCAGTGTTGTGGAATGACCTTCCCCAGACTCCGGGAGAGAGAACCTCTTTCCCTCTCTTCACATCCACACTCAAGACTGCCCTTTTTACCAGGGTCTACGTCTGATCGCCCACACCTGGCCCGGGGGGGGGAACCGGGGGGGCAAGGGTCACCATCGTTCTCGGCCAGCCGACACCGGAGGTGGAGGTGGAGGTGAGGTGGTCAGTATCACGCTCCGGCCAGGACATCACTCCCAGAAGGATTAACCCCCGGTGCTCATTGGGAAAGCCGGCTGAGTGGAGCTGGGAGCCGTCTGGGAGGAATGAGAGCCAGCTCCATCGCTTGCTCCTGCCCGGGATTGAACCCAGGACCCTCCGGTCAGGAGCCAGAGGTCCTCGCTGTCTGAGCAACCACCACTCCAGAAACCCGCATGTCCTGCTCATTTTCTTGCCATGTTTAATTTTTTTTGTACTTTTTTTAGTCTTTTTCTTTATTCGCAATGGAAACAGTCCTTGGGTTTGGAAAGGAGATTCATAAATGAAAACATATTATTATTATTATTATTATTATTATTATTATTATTATTATTATTATTATTATTATTATTATTATTATTAGCATTTTCTCAGCCACCACACAATAGAACAACCCAGCCAATGGGACCATGTGGAAAAGACTATCCTATAGGTCACCCCTGGTCCTGGGGCGCCCCAGCTCAGACCAGTCCAGTCAGTCTCACAGATCCCCTGTTCTTGGAGATTGGGGACACCTGCGAGTTACTGATCAGTCAGGCAAGTCAGACTCTCTTCTTACTTTGACTAATCACCTGTTCCATATGTTTGGACACGGCTGCCTTAATGGTGACCCCCAGATCCTGCAGGACTGGGGCTCCCCAGGAGCAAAGCCAGGAACCCCCAAACCCACGTCGATGACAGCAGGGTCCCCAGCGCTAAGGCTGCCTGCACCATGCTCCGACTGCAATGACTTCATTGAGCCAAATATGTGGATAAAAGGTCCAATCGGATATGTTTTCCAGGTCTTAATTAAAAGGTGCATCTAAAACCTACAGGAGCAGGGAAGCCCGGGCCGGAGAGTGTCCGAGTTGCACACTGCACCTCTTAGCGGTGGATTTCGCCCAGCCCAAAGAGACCAGTAATCTCTTCCCAGTCTGCATCTCTCTTCACCCCCCTCCGTGGCTTCACAAGCCCCTCGGTCTTCCTGGCTGGGCTGCTGTTTCGCCGACACGTGTGGCTCCAAGTTCAATCGCTAACGCTGCGGCCTCACAGAAGTCCGCAAGGGCTACCTTCAGGGTTTCTGCTTTACCTCTTCAAGTAAATTCAGCACCCTGTCCGAGAGAGACACGCTTGCAGGCTCGGCCGGCGAGGACATGGGGAATGTTGTGCAGAGGAGGGCAGAACCGACAGAGTGTCAACACGGTGCAGTGCAGCGGTAGGGCTTCGCTTCTGAGAACTGCACCCAACCACTGAAAGCGCCTGTCCTACGCAGGCGAGCTGAAAGAACTGCATCTCTTTCGTCTCGAAGTGAAGAGACCGTGAGATCGAGCTGCCCAGCCCCGCTGTGAGACCTGACATCCTGACTCATTTCGAGGAGCAGCTGGAAGAGACGCCAGGATCAATTAGCCCCTTGCAAACCAGCCTGCACAACAGACCAGATGACCTCCTCTCATTGGCTGCCTTGTGATCTTCTACTCCAGCACTGGGTTAGCTGAGAGGCAGAGTCATCCTGACCCTCATTACATCAGGGGGCTGCACCTCCAGCGCTGCAGAGCCAGAGGGTCTCCAGTTCTCCTTCCATTCGAGCCCTTACTCACCGAACTGAACCTGCCATGTGCTGACCTGGACGAGTCGAAGACTTGCTCTCAAGCAGCTGGAGAGCGCCCCCTTGTGGACCAGTGTTGGGTCCTCCCCTGCATTCAAACTTGATGCGTTTCTGGGGACCTGCTGGGGATGATGTCAGTGGGTCCCTCTGATATTATATATAGGGTAACTACCCCCCCCCCCCGCCACGCTGCTGCACCAGCGCTAACCCCCACTCCAGGGCTGCTACTCCAGACCAGCTGTGCCCAGCCCTGGTCCTGCAGGAACACTGTGTCTGCTGGTTCTCATTCCAGCTCCAGTGCCAACTGGTGACTTACAGGCACTGGCCTGCTTGCTGGCTGAGACTTGTGTTGAACTCGTTTCTCCAGTCAGTCCCGTGTGTCAGAAATACCCCAGCTGAAGGGCACTGTTCCTACAGCTTCATCTCCCAGAGCCTCACACAGCCTCTCCTCACCCTGCTGGCTGTTCCTTCTGATTCAGCAGCTCTGACGAGGTGCAGATAAACAGACACAGGCAGGAGTGACACTGGGGGACACGTCCGTGGTGGGCAATGGCCGCCATTAAACACGTCCACAGCAAGGGGGTTTTCCTTCTGCTGAGCGCTGGTTGGCTCCCTTCCAGGCGGCACGCCCATATGGGATCTGCTAATACCAATTACAACCCCCCTCCTGACCTTTTAAGGTACCAGAGCAGAAAACAGAAATCAGTGAGCCCGTGATTAAGAATTCAGCTGGAGCAAAGAGCAGACGAGAGCGCCCCCCCCCCCCCCCCCCCCCAGCCCACGGCTGCGAGCCTCGAGCCCCGTGGGCTACTCTTAAGAGCAACCCAGGTCCCCCTCTCGCCACGCGCATGTGCGACAGCAGCGGCGAGTGTCCCCCCTGCTCAGCGCGCGGGTCCGTTCTGTCACTTCTGTCTCGCGCTTCTCGGGCAATTCTGAAATCATTCCGAGCATGCGGTCTCGGGCTGGGGCTGCTGTGGCACATGGAGGCGAGCTCCGCGGTGCACACAGATCGCATAAACAGCCCTTTTTTGGCCATTTCAAAATCTTCACAATTGACCACAGCTGTTCCACAGCAACGGTAGAAAAACCCACGGAGTTCCACACTCGTGAAACATCGCGCATTTTTTTTCCATAAAAAGGATACGCCACAAAAAACAAACAAACAAACAAACAAACAAGCCACCCACGAGCCCATTAAAGAGTAGGTTGCGGATTAAAGACGCGTTTCTTCCCCGTGCAGAAAGACCGTACCCCTGCGGCACATCCCCGGAGCGGGCTGGTGTCCGAAAGCGCTCGAATGCGATTGTTCTACTAACGCAAAATCGATGCGGTTCCGCTCTTCAGATTGAACATCTGCGCTCCTGCGCTGGACGAACTTCAGTCTCAAAGACGAAAGGCTCTCGGGGCTCTGACGGGCACATTCGGGGTTAAGACGCTATTTTCCTCCGCCACGCTTGGCGTATGAGCGTCTGCCTGTCTGCCTGTGTGGGGTGTCCCGTCAGCGTCTACCGTAACAAGCAGCGAGGTTAGTACTGCCGCTATATCAGGCCATATCCCTCAGATATTCTTGATACAAAGGCCATCTGAAGCAGCCCCGCTAGCCGTGTATCCGAGATGCCCTTTCAGACACAAAAGAGGCCTCCACCCCCCCCCCAAAAAAAATCCACATTGTCATATTCATAAATCGTACCCCCTCCACCTTCGTTTAAAGAGCCCGTTCAGACCAGAGAGCCCGACCCCCTAAAAATAGAATTTCACATCGAGAGACGCATTCCTGACGCTTTCTCGCCTGCAACTGGAGGTTGTCGCGCGACTGCGAATTAAAGCCAGATGAACGCGTCCCAGTTGCTTCTTTTGATATCTACTTTAAATCTAAAAGACTGTTTTCATCGGCGTGTCTCCAGTGCGCCTCCGAGGAGTGTTAGACAGACACTGTGTCAAAACCGGTAGCATTCACAAACCCGCCACCTTGATGTCTGAATTGTCTGCGAACAGTACATTAGAGCTCTCGGGTAAAAAAAAAACATCAATAAAATTGATAAAAACATCAAACAAAGATGTAATGGAAGAGAACCAAGTAAAAACGCCTACGAGAAAGACATAGGAAAAAAACACCCCTACCTTGTTTTCTCACATTTGGCAAGACCGCGGCTGGCTGCTATTCCGCTGTCACAAACGCCACGACCGTCTAACGGGGTAAAACCGGGAATACAATAACACAAGATCTGGAAAAATTGCCTGCAGCCGACGGGCTGGAGATGCACGCGCAGCGGTAGCCCAACATGCTCACAGCGCAGGGCTCCTTGTCCACGAGACGGAGTCCGCCTCTGCCCCTAGCGGCCACACGCAACACTGCAGCCCTGCAGCAGCGGCAGAGCGGTGCAGTACCATCTCGTTGACGGCAAAAGAAATCCGAGGAAGAGCAGGTCCGTCCATCCGCTTCCTTTCTTTACCCAGTCCTGTCGTGGCAAACAACGGGTACAAGGCAGGGTTCACCCTGGACAGGATGCCAGTCCATCGCTGGGCGCACAGACACGCACTCTCATGCCAGGGGGCAGTCTTCCCACAAGCCAGTTGACCCACCAGCGCATCTTTGGACAGTGGGTGGAAACTGGAGCTCCCAGAGGAAACCCATGCAAACATGGGGAGTTCCCCAGCTCTGGAACTGGTCCCAGGGCCCCAGTGCTGACCACTGCACTGCCTAGCCTCTTGCACGACCAGAGCTCTTGTAAGGTAAATGCACAAAATTGCTAGTCCCATTCAAAAAGACAACCAACAAACAGCAAACAATAAAGTTGAATTCACTGTAACGTTTCCAAGACTCAAACAGCGGCTGGCAGGAGTGTGCTACTGCTTTTACCCTCTGCCTGCTTCCCTGTGAACATCTCTGTGGCGTCTCCAGGATCAAAGGCGAAACACAAGCCAGAGGGCACAAGTGGAAACATCTAAGAATGAAAACAGGAAGCACATCTTTACCCAGAGGACGGCGGGGGTGTGGAACAAGCTCCCCATTCACGGTGTTGAAGGCGACATCCTGGCGTCTGTCAAGCGATGGCTGCATGGGATCCTCAGATCAATCACCCGCTCCGGCAGAAGCCAGAGGACCCGTGTGATGAAGGACTCCCCTTGTTTGTCAACATCCCTACGTTTTTATCTGCTTACAAGGTTCCTCCTACACTGAGTGTCGATTCTGTTTGGACAACTGCTCTGGGCCCTTTTCTCTCCAGGCACACGGACAGAGAAAGAGTCTTTCTCAGTCTCAACAGAGGGCTTTCTTATGACAAATGGATGCAAAACATTCTGCCATTATCTTTATTTTTAGAGGATGTGGTGTTTCCATTTAAGACAGACATCTTAAGAGCCTTTGAAAAAACATTTTTCTATTAAAAAGGGCCTCTTTCATGGTCCAGAAGATACCCTATCAGCCCACCACACAAACCGCCACACCCCAGCACACACACACACACCCTGACAGACCCATGAGCACGCACACACCGACACACACCGACAGACCCCAGCAAACACACACACACCCCGACAGACCCCAGCAAACACACACACACCCCGACAGACCCATGAGCACACACACACAGACACACACAGACAGACCCATGAGCACGCACACACAGACACACACTGACAGACCCCAGCAAACACACACACACCTCGACAGACCCATGAGCACACACACACAGACACACACCGACAGACCCATGAGCACGCACACACAGACACACACAGACAGACCCATGAGCACGCACACACAGACACACACTGACAGACCCATGACCAAGCACACACAGACACACACTGACAGACCCATGAGCACACACACACAGACACACACTGACAGACCCATGAGCACACACACACAGACACACCCCGACAGACCCATGAGCACGCACACACAGACACACACAGACAGACCCATGAGCACGCACACACAGACACACACTGACAGACCCATGAGCACGCACACACAGACACACGCTGACAGACCCATGAGCACACATACACAGACAGACCCCGACAGACCCATGAGCACACACACACAACGACAGACCCATGAGCACACAGACACACATACACACTGACAGACCCATGAGCACACAGACACACACAGACACACGCACCGAAAGATGCGTGTTCACACAAAAAACAGAAAAACAGACACATTACCTTATTCCCACATTCTATATTAAATCTATATTAAGTCAGCCAAGAGATCTAACCTGTTACATACATTTGGGTTATTTTTACACTGTCATTTGTTCTGTCTTTTTTGCTATCTATTGCTCAACAGGGTATGTGGGGTACCAAGCTGCAAAGCTGTTACTCTTATGTTGTGATTATTTTTTCCCCCCTAAAAGCCCACATAGAAACTTCTGAATTATGGCAGGATTGTAAAAGCATTTGCTGACAGAGAGGCAAGACAGAGCACAGCTGCCTCACTGCTCTCAGGCCCTGGGTTCCATTCTGGACTGGAGTTCTCTCATCCGGAGTTTGCATGTTCTCTCTGAGGTCGCATGAGATGGCTAGGAGTGCTCTGTCTTCCACAGTCCAAAGACATTCTGGCTGCGATCTCACAATTTGTCCTTGTATACATGTGTACTTGTGTGCACCTCATGTTGGACTGGCATCCGGTCCAGGATGTATCCTGCCTTGTGTCCACTGTTTACTGCAAACAGTTACAGTTTACAGGCAGGGTAACAGTTATTCTGGAACAAAAACAGGAAGTCTGTGCTACTGTAGATCAGCAATGCCCCTCCCCATGAAAATAGATATATCCTTATGCCCTCTGCCAATCAGTGCTTGCTACTGTGTTTATACTTATAATGCATTATGGGCCTTATCTTGAGGTCTGTGATTAATCGTCCAATAATTTTATGTGTATTGAAAATGTTTAATTTCTTTATTCTGCAGTGAGAAGAGCTAACTAGCATCCATCCATGTTCTACTGCTTTATCGAATTCAGGATCGTGGGGAACCAGAGCCTGTCTTAGCAAGCAACAGGCGCAAGGCAGGGTACACCCTGGATGGGACACCAGTCCATCTCAGGGCACACACTGGCGCATTCACACCAAGGTCAACAGTCCCTGGAGCCACTGTGAGAGGAAACCAGAGCACCTGGCAGAAATCCACATGACCGTGGGGACCATGCAAACTCCCCCACACAGACAACCCCCCTGGAACTGAATCCAGCACTCTGAACTGAACTCAGCAGTAGCTAATTAGTCAATTAATAGTTAACTATGGGGATCAATTAAACAATCAAGAGTTCAGTTGGAACAAAATCCAGAAGACTAGGGTGACTGGGGCCTAGAATGGGATGGAGTGCTATGTCTGTTTTTTAAGATGCAGGTGATTTCACTGGCACTCTGGAGAAACTGATTGGCTGTGATGAAGCTGATTTGGACCAATCAAAATCCCCTTGAAGACAACTTCCACTCTGGGGAGGAGGCAGGAAATGGTCAACTGAGTTGCTCCAATCGGATGGCGGAAGCGCCTTGACAGACGGCCGAGAGAACCAATAGCATCTCAGCTCGACGCCTCGTCGGCCAATCAGCTCTCAGCATGGCGAAGCAGCACGGCAAAGCTGCGAGGCCGAAAATAAAAACAGGAACTGGGGAGGGCTGGAAACTAGGCGGCAGAAAGATGGCTGCTTCCATGGAGAGGTGGTCCAAAGTCTTGTCCCTTGTGTTTTGGTGGTGTACGTTCTCCGTAGCCGCGTTTTTGAACTTGGAGGAGCTAAGTGAAATGAAATATGGGATCCAGATTCTCCCCGATCCCGTGATTAAGAGACAGGTGGGACGAGCGGTCTTCTACTTACCGTGTCTGACAGCGAGCATTTCATAACAGGGCACTGGACGACACCCCGGTTTGTTCTTTCTGGGTGATTAGAGTTTTATAAGTCGGGTGGCAGGTCGTATCGAAAACTTTAACTCCCGCCCCCCCAGACGCCGTGGAAACGGGCGGTAGGCTGTTGATCCTTCGATGAGCTCTGGACAGAGGTTCGCCCCGGTATCAGGCGTGTAATGACAACGGTGCTGATGGTGTCTTGTTCTGGGAGTTAGTACAGGCATTCGGTTATGGTGGGGGGATTTGGGGTCGACGCACATCACTTTAATCATCTCTGGGATCGCAGCTGCGCGTCCGCTGGCTTTCGTTTCAGTTATGCTAGAAGATCGCTGTAAAAAGGGGTTTTTATCCAGCCCAGGTAAGCTGGAGCAGCGGGACTGTCGTTTGCCTTCAGCCAGATTACAACAGCAGCGCCCCGCTTGGGGTCTGATCCCACAGCCGTCCCGGTACGAGTCCGGGACTCTGACCGCTGCTGGCCTCATGCTCCCCAGCCCGGCTCGGCCGTCCTGTCAATTGGCTACAACTTGTCATAAGAATTGTCTTGAATTTGATTTCTAAAACGTCTAGTCGGTTTAGCGACGCTTACAGCTGTGACCTTTTTCGCTGAATTGATTACACTTCTGTGCCTTAATTGCTTTCATGAGCCCAGGTGCTGAAGATCACCGATCGCTAGGGTTTCTCGGAGGAGAGGGAATACGGGTCTAAGTGTTGAGTGTATATTCAGTCTGTCCAGATTCTCTATTGGGTGTTCTGCTGATGGGCAGAAATCAGTGCTCACTATTACCTGAAATGTGAATGTTTATGGTTTTTCTTAAAATAAGCCCAGTATTTAAGAAATGTCCATCATTAGGGGCCAGTCCTGGGTCCTGTGCAACCATATGCCTTGAATAGTCAATATAGAACTAAACTAGTGGCTCGTTTCAGCTCCTGCACGCACAGACGTGTTCGTAGCTGCACTATTTTTGGAGACACTTTTAAAACCACGTCGGACTGGCTACTGCAGAAGTCTGCTTGGCTGTGGGTTCAAGTATGATGGTCTGCAACCAGTGGCCAAAATATGAAATCCCCCCCCCACACACCTAGCTTCTTGAGCAGCTGGGACAGGGCATGGTGCATCAGGTTCCCTGTTCCCATCTCGATCCCATCCCATTCTGGCCCTGGGATCCCTCCTTGTCCCTGCAGGCCCCTGCCCCAGTGTTTACTATAGGTTACTCCAAATGTTCGTGATTGGGAGCTTGTAATCAATCCTTCTCCTGAACCCATTAAGGAAGATGAACTTCTTCAGTTTAAGATCCCTGAGAGCCGAAGCTTGTTTAGTTTTGCGCTCCAGATGAACTTGACGCTGCTTACACAGCTCGGCCTGTATGGATGTGATATGAATATAGGCTGGCCGGGGGGTCCCCAAGGAGGCGCTGGAGGTGATGCCGGGGAAAGAGGAGTCTGGTCTCCCCTGCTCAGCCTGCTCCCACTGTGACCTGACCTGATTGCTTCGTCGTTAGTACTTGAGTGATCCACCCATTCCATCCATCTTCCAACGTCTTTATACAATTCAGGGTTTCAAGGGGAGCCGGGACCTATCCCAGCAAGCTACAGGCACAAGATGGGGTGCACCCTGGACAGGACACCAGTCCATCCCGGGACACACACGGTCACGCACAGACAAACACACACTCGCACCAGGACCAGTTTTGCCAGAAGATGATTAACTTGCCGGCATGTCTTGGTCCTGTGGGAGGGAACTCGCATGAACACATGGGGGAGAACATGCAAGCTCCACGCAGGTAGCACTGCAGGAGTCGAACCCAAGGCCCGAGAGCTGAGAGGCGGCAATGCTTACGGCTGTGCCGCCCTGATCCAGCGGTTCTTCCGCGCCCGTAGCCCAGGGGATGGGCTTCACCGACGGAGGCGCCTGCTGGGCAGGTGGCGCACCTGTCAGGCCGGCTCGCCCCTGAGCCCAATGGGAAGACTGGCGCAACTCTCCCTCGTAACTCACAGGCTGTACCCCCCCTGGGGGTCGCCCAGAACCCGGGGGCGAGGTGGTCAGCGCCACAGGGTCACAGCGGTCCCAGGGTCCTGGGTTGGATTGCGGCTCAGGTTGACAGTCTGTATGGAGTTTGCATGGTCCCGCGGTGCGCTGGTTAGGCTTGGTGCTTGCAGGCGAATCTGTGTGTGATTGGACCCCAGTGCCACTAGTACTGGCCAAGGCACAGATGGATCCCTACGGGCCTGCTGGCGGCTGTCCAGGATGTTTGGACCCGGGGGGGGCCGTGTCAGTCTTGTGGGCCTGCTGGCGCTCCGAGCTCAGGCTGTCGCCCCCTCTCCCCGCGCAGGCCAGGTCGGAGGAGGTCATGCTGGTCTCCAACAAGTACAAGCAGCTGTACGAGTGCCGGCTGCCGGCGCAGGCGCTGCGCTTCCAGCAGGACGCGGCCGCGGACTCGGCAGACTCGCAGGCCTACTCGGGCCCCGGCATCGCCGAGCTGCTGAAGCCCATGGACGGCGCCCCCTGCCTGGTGAAGGTACGCCGCGCCACGCCGCGCCACTGGGATTGGTGTAGTGTGGGAGTGGTTGCTAGGGTTACCAAACGGCTGTATCCTCCCGGACCTGTCCTCCTTTTTGCTCCTAAACCCTCCGTCCAGGAGGAGAATTCCATTACCTTAAAACTGGGGATTTTTCCCATCTCTTCCTCCTGATTGTTTGGGAGTGAAATGGTTTGTGGGTTGGTGGTGTGTTGATTTATGATGTTCCAGGACTGGTCTAGTCTTCCCCCCCCAGTTCGGTTCTCCTCCTGAACTGGTGCGATTCTCTCGGCCTCGCCCCCGGCCCAGCGGCGGCGCTGACCGCGGTGTCTTGGTCTGATCCTGATCCGATCTGCACCTTTTCCTCGGTCGCTGTGGAGGTGTATTTAAATCGGAGAACACCAGGTGCTGTCCAATTTGATGACTTCAATAAACCGTTGATTTTTGAGGCTGTGTGATATTTGATTAGGTTTGATCCCACAGCATGCATGCCTCTTTATCGCATGAATACAGCGAGCTGTAATAGATACTGGCACGAATCCCCCCCCCGTGCCTCGGACACAGTCACCCCAAGGATCGTGAGCTCTGCAGCGCTGGGTCGTGTGTGCGGCTGCGGCGGCGATCTGAACCGGACCGCCCCGGAGCTGCTATTCTGCTGCCTGTCCCGTCCCGGCGGGACTGTGACGCGGGCCACCCCCTAATCTGCTCTGGGCTGTTCTGATTGCAGACGAAAGACTGGTGGACCTACGAGTTCTGCTTCGGACAGCACGTCAGGCAGTACCACCTGGAGGGTGAGGGCACGTCGTGTGGTCGGGGGGGGGGGGAGGAGGGATTGTTATCTGTGGTCTGATCCTGTCACTCAGGCCTTTCCTCCCCCCCCTGCAGATTCAGAAATAAAAGGAGACGTGCTCTTCCTGGGATACTACGGGTCAGAGTTCGACTGGAATAACGAAACTGCCAAGGTAGGAGCGAATCGACGTGTTCCTATCGATTTGCGGAACAGCCTTATCTTGCAAATTTCTGGCAAATTGCAGTGGACGTTGGGTCCAGCTTATTCAAACCTGGCAGAAGGTTTTAAATTACTGGCCAGATAGGTTTGTGTCAAATCGGACCACAAGGTGGCAGTATCTTACTTGGTAAAGCTACTGCTTGGTAATGTATTTTTGCTGGTATATTGTACATTTGGGATCTGTAGCGTTTGCTTTATTAATTATATACAGCTGACAGCAGGGTGGTACAGTCGTTAGTATTTCAGGTGGGTAGCTGCGTCAGCATACGTAGGCTGCAAAGGAACAAGTAATAGGTTTATTCCATGCTGAAAAAAAGAAGAAAGAGAACACAACGTTTC